CCCCCGTTATTTGGGCCAGCCCGTATGAGCGGCGGGCGCCCCCGTTATTTTTGTTTCTTTTTGTTATTTTCCGTTTTTTTGCTTCTATAAAAAATTTCGGGGTTTAAAATAGTTCTGAATTTCAAATAATGGTCGATATTAAAAAAATTGAATATCAAAAAATGTTTGCAAGTTTTATTGTTTTTCCTCAAATTCAAAAAACATTTGCAAGTTAGACAAATGTTGTCGAATTAAAAAAATGTTCTTGGAATTGAAAAAATGTTTCCATATTCAAAAAAGGGTTGTGATTTTGAAAAACGTTCAGGAATTCTAACAAATGTTCAGGATTTTGAATAAATTATTGCGGATTAAAAAATGATCATGATTATTTTAAATGTCCACAAAAATAAAAATAATAATAAGAAACAAAAAAGTGCAAAATATTTGTGAATTTGACAAATGTTTACGAACACTTAGAAAATTGTGACGAATTCAATATGTTTTTGTGATTTAAATGAATGTTCATGACTTAAAAAAAATCACAAAATAGAAAAGATGTTCGAAAAATGAAGAAGAAAAATGAAGAAAATTAAAGAGATATGAACATTTTGAAAATGTAAAAATTAAAGAGATGATGAAATTTTTGTTCATTTTGAAATTAATGAACTAATTTTGAATTTGACCAACATTTCTTAATATGATGTTTTTTTAAATTCATCATTTTTTTTAACTTGACGATCATTTTTTGATTTTGATGAACAAACTTTGAATTTGAAAAACTATTCAACCTTTTCTTAAAATAGATTTGAAACATGTTCCCAGATCTTACAAAATGTTTGTGAATATGGAATGAAAAAACAAAAAGAAAGGAAAACGAAAATTTAAAGTAGATTTTTTTTGGAGAAAGAGATAAAACGAAATAAAAAACAAGAAAAACTGGTTTGGGTAGTTTCCACGAGGGGAGGACCCGCACACCAAATAGGATTCCCCGTTTCCATCCAGCTGTTTTTTTTTTGACCCGCTGTTGCGAGTACATGTTAGGCCGAGGAAAGGACCATCTTTCCAAATTTTTTTGAGAAGGACCATCTTTCCATTTATGTGGGCTCATTTGTCTCTCCGGACTGTAAATAATATTTTGGGCCATCATGCATGTGTACTGTTTAATATGATTTCTGAAGCTGACCTGTACTTTTTCTCAAAAAAAAAAGAAGCTGGGCTGTACTTCTATATTCTAGCAAAAAAGTAGCAAGGTTGGGCTGTTCGTTCATTTATGGGCTTTTAACATAGCGCAGTATCCCTTGGTTATTTAAAACGGCAAAATCACCTCAATTTTTTAAAAATGACAAATACTCTTTTGAGAATAAAATAGGTCCTCTCTGGAAGATGCTAAAAAAAGTACTCTCCGGAAATCCTACAGACATCTCAAAAGAAAAGGAAAATTTGTACAAAAGGAAAATCCTACAGACATCATGGGAAGGATTCGTTCTTATGTCTCATGAAATTTCATAATGTTCCAACATTCGCTCTAACATAATTTGCAATTTTTGCAGTCCATACAAGCTTTCTTAACTTTTCTGCAAAACTGCAGTCCTTATCGGTTTTTGATGACATTTCTGCACGTACTGCAGGAATAATTTTTGGAGCCATGGTGATGGGCATCGGCTGCGTGGTGTGCCACGTGCTGAAGCGCCGTTCCGCGTCCATCCGGTCGCAGCAGAGCACGAAGCGGCTCCTGTCGGAGGCGGACTGCACGGTGCCACTCTACTCGTACCGCGAGATCGAGCGCGCCACCAGCGGCTTCTCCGAGGACCAGCGGCTCGGCACGGGCGCCTACGGCACGGTGTACGCGGGGCGCCTCAGCGACAACCGCCTCGTCGCCGTGAAGCGGATCAAGCACCGCGACAACGCCGACGGTGGCCTGGACTCCGTCATGAACGAGGTGAAGCTGGTGTCCTCCGTGAGCCACCGCCACCTGGTCCGCCTCCTGGGCTGCTGCATCGAGCAGGGCCAGCAGATCCTGGTCTACGAGTTCATGCCCAACGGCACGCTGGCGCAGCACCTGCAGAGGGAGCGCGGCCGCCCCGCCGTGCCGTGGACGGTGCGCCTCCGCGTGGCCGCCGAGACCGCCAAGGCCATCGCGTACCTGCACTCGGAGGTGCACCCGCCCATCTACCACCGCGACATCAAATCCAGCAACATCCTGCTCGACCACGAGTACAACTCCAAGGTGGCCGACTTCGGGCTGTCCCGGATGGGCATGACGTCCGTCGACTCGTCGCACATCTCCACCGCGCCGCAGGGCACCCCGGGCTACGTCGACCCGCAGTACCACCAGAACTTCCACCTCTCCGACAAGAGCGACGTGTACAGCTTCGGCGTGGTGCTGGTGGAGATCATCACGGCCATGAAGGTTGTCGACTTCAGCCGGGGCCCCAGCGAGGTCAACCTGGCGCAGCTCGCTGTGGAGAAGATCGGCAGGGGCTGCGTGGACGACATCGTCGACCCCTTCCTGGACCCGCACCGGGACGCGTGGACCCTCACGTCCATCCACAAGGTGGCGGAGCTGGCGTTCAGGTGCCTGGCGTTCCACAGCGAGATCAGGCCGTCCATGGCCGAGGTCGCCGACGAGCTGGAGCAGATACAGGTCAGCGGGTGGGCGCCGTCGAATGACGACGCCGCGTTCATGTCGACCACGTCGTCGCTCTGCTCGTCGGCGCCGTCGCGCGGCACGGACAAGTCGTTGGGGCCGGACAAAGGCAGGGGCGAGGCATTGTCGACGTCTGCCCCGGCGATGGCAGTGGCAGCGCGGGAAACGGAGAAGGGCGCGGCGGGGTCCTCCCCTGTGTCCGTCCAGGAGAGGTGGTTCAGCGACAGGAGCTCCCCTTCCTCCAATAGCCTGCTCGGGAATAGCAGCTCGCTTCACTGAACTGAGACACGCGGCCACTACTCCTGACATCCATTCCATCGTTGTTTAGTTTAGCTGTAAAATTTAGAGATGTACGATTTCTTCTAGTAGCTACCAAAGAAATGAAAACGCACGATTTTCTGGTCTCTTCTTGCTCTGCTCTTCCCTTCCCCTTTTCCTTTTCCTTTTGCGTTGGTTCCAAGCAATCTGTAAATGAAACCTGTATTTGTCTGCTCAGACGCCATGTTGACAAGCCATTGATTCGACCAAGTTGACGTGCAGACGGAGAGATGATTGTCTAGAACTCACTGACCAGTTCTTCCACGAAGGGTGTAGCCGGGGGAAAAGTAAACCCGGTCTCCCGGTAACATTCGGTCGCTTGGCTTACTTTTCGTGGTGATAAAAAGTTAAGACGGGGTCAATTCATTTACTCGGCCGGGGCCACGCGTACACACCGTGACATTTCCACGCAGATCCAGCACGTACACGCACCTCGCTTCGTAGTATCCGCCACCGGAAGTGTACGACGAACGATCCATGCACTCCACAGAAATTCAGCCGTACAATCGAAATCGTTTTCCCGGCCGGCCCATGCTTGATGCTACCCACCCTGTCCCGTCCCGTGCAAGTGTGGAAAATATGTTCTTCTGGTGAAACAATCAAAAACTGACGGTCCCGAGAACAGTCGTACGCGCTGACGTGCACCCTAGCTAGGCGGCCAGGCAACATGGTTTATACATATCTCGTAAAAAAAAACATGGTTTACACATGCAGTGCAATCTCTTCACTGTAGCCAATCGTCGACGATGGGTCCATGGCAGCACATATTGATCATGCCAAAAATGAGGGCATCTATAATTGGCCTTGCATGCGACGACGCGGCCGCTGGCCGTCCGGCTTCATCTGTCCGGCGCTATCCCTCTCCCCGTCGTCGTGCTATCAAACAAGGTTGGCTTCAGTCGCGGTCCCGTATGGTTGAGGCGCGAAACCGATCGATCGACACGCGAAAGCAGAATCGAAAGCAGATTCACATGTTGGTGCACGTTTTCGCTGGCCCGGCCGCTGGTCGATCGGCACACGTCGCCGAAGCGAAATGGGAAATATAAACGTGTATATACGTTCGGTCTTGCTAATTCTAAGAGCATCTCCAATAGACACCAAAAAGACCTCCGCGCACTAAAAGTTTGTTTTTTGACGCCGAACAGCTCCAGCAAAAGCTGTAGCGCTAAAAGTTTTTGCCGGCAGAAGTTGTATTAAAATGAGCTAGATATACCATAATGTTACTACTGAGAGATACCTACCTCTTTAAAGCAGCTTCTCATTCTTGAACCTCTTTCACGCTCATGTCACGTCGAGGTACTGCAGAAAAAAAAACTGCAAAATCTGATCCAATTTTTCGTAATCGATTAGTTAACATGGTGGTTAACCGTATTCTGAAAGACGGAAAAAAATCATTGGCTTATCAAATTCTCTATCGAGCCGTGAAAAAGATTCAACAAAAGATAGAAACAAATCCACTATTGGTTTTACGTCAAGCAATACGTAGAGTAACTCCCAATATAGGAGTAAAAACAAGACGTAATAAAAAAGGATCGACGCGGAAAGTTCCAATTGAAATATGATCTAAACAAGGAAGAGCACTTGCCATTCGTTGGTTATTAGAAGCATCCCAAAAGCGTCCGGTTCGAAATATGGCTTTCAAATTAAGTTCCGAATTAGTAGATGCTGCCAAAGGGAGTGGGGGTGCCATACGCAAAAAGGAAGCGACTCATAGAATGGCAGAGGCAAATAGAGCTCTTGCACATTTTCGTTAATCCATGAACAGAATCTATGTATGTAGACACATGGATCCGTACATCTC